TTTCGTGACTCGCTCTAGCGTTTAAAATGTCTGATCAAATAATGTTCATATTCGTATCTATAATATTGCCGAAGACACTATATACATAAAATCAAGAGATTCCCTGAAATCTTAATCGGAAAATTTTAAAAATGTGGAAGAGGGAGTAATTTGCCATCTCTAAACGCCAATACACGGTTTTCTATTTTTAGCCCTACTTTCAAAACCAGCTGGATTTTTTCTGAAATTATTTTGTTTTGCACTGTGTTATTTTTTATCCACATGGGCCATAGCCAGCCATCATGAGATGAAGAAATTCCCTGTACAGCCATTTCATTTAAAGCTATCTCTGATGATTCAGATCAATTGTCATGACTCAATTGCTTTAGTTACCCTAAGGCAAAAGAACGCGTTCATGGGAAATTTTTACTCTCTTTTTGCCTACCGAATCCTCCGAAAATCACTACAAAATATTAAAAAAATAGAAATTTAACACTTAAAAAATTATACTAATTTCCTATTTTTTTATTTTCTTCTTCAGAGGCAAATTTGCCGCTGTTCGCCGGGCGATACACAAAAACTCTGGAGTTCATTTTGCAGCGAAATTTCTGAAACGGCGAAGACGTGCCCAATCGTCCGATAAAGAAATCAAACATGAAATAGCCGTGCTCATGCTGTGTAATGATGCCGATAATATTGTCAAATTAAATGCTGTGCATGAATCACGTTCGGATACAGCGCTTTTATTAGATTTGTGAGTATTTTTCGCCAGATTTTATTTTCTGTAATTAATAATCCAAATAAACCAAAACATCTTCTTGTTCTTTCTCCCTTGCAGAGCGACTGGCGGTGAACTACAAACATTTCTGGACAACGAAGAGTGTCTGAACGAGGGCCAGGCACGCATTTGCATGCGTGAAGTACTTAAAGCATTACAATTTTTGCACAAACGATCCATTGTTCATTTAGATTTAAAACCACAAAATATACTTTTAAGCGGAGAACGTATTGAAGGTAAGTATGCCACTCACCTGGGCATCCAGTGGAACAATTCCATTAACCACAATTTTTTTTTTTACTAAATTACAGATGGTCTAAAATTGTGTGATTTTGGCATTTCACGCGTTGTTACCGAGGGTACCAATGTACGTGAAATTGTCGGCACCCCCCGATTATGTGGCCCCCGAAGTCCTACAGTATGAACCCTTATCCCTGGCCACCGACATTTGGTCGGTGGGTGTTCTAACCTATGTCCTGTTGACGGGTTTTTCACCGTTTGGCGGTGAAACCAAACAGGAAACCTTCCTTAATATATCACAATGTGCACTAACATTTCCGGATAAATTATTTGGAGGCGTCTCATCGGCAGCCATTGATTTTATGCGCAAAGCATTGCGAATAAAGCCAGGGTATGTTTTCGTTTTTTTGTTTGTATTTCCAAAAAATTATGCAATTGAAATTTAATTTGTTGTTGTTGTTTGTTACAGAGATCGCATGACTGCTGCAGGATGTCTCGAACACATTTGGCTTAAAGACGAATGTAGCATCGATAGACATATTTTCAATACTAAACTCAGCAATAAGCAGCAATTGGAACACGACGATGAGGAAGATGACGAAGTTGACGATGAGGAGTTGGATAGCGATGATCATGCCGTAGCTGTCGAAGAAGAAGACATCATTGACAATGTGTCAGCAGAGGAGCAGGAGCAGCAGCAGCAGCAAGTAGATTTAGCCCACAAGAGCATTGTTGAGGATCATCATGAGGTAGTACATGAAGAAATTGGAAATGTTAAAGATAAACCCCCAGGCAATAAGTGTAGACAATTCCGAAGAAGAAGAGGAAGTTGATGATGATGATGATTTATTGAACAACAGCAACACCACCACCACCACCACCAACACCAACACTAATACCACCACTTATCAGAAATACAACAACACAAATGGCCATAGCAATGGTTACACTACTTCATCTAGCACAATCAACTCAAGCACCTCCAACACCAATGGCCATGCCAGGAATCATTTAAATGGTCATCACATCAATGGTCATGCAAATGGCCTAACCAATGGCCATGCGTCCTCTTCAAATGGTTTTGGCAAAATTTCCGATGACAAGACCTCATCCCAGCTAGGCACAAATGGCACAATGTCATCCTTTCTAAAGTCTCCCAAATCGTTGGGCACAGCCACAGCCACAACAAAGACCACGGCGGTCCATAATGTGCCAGCAGCAACAAAAGCCATTACCATACCCCTAAGCAGTGTACAACAACACCAACATTTTACATCGTCAACAATGTCAACAACACCGCCGCCGGACCAACAACAGTTTCTTCACATACCAGCCAGACGCCAATCGTCCGATTCCAATAAAGAAAACACCTTTCTGACCACCAAGAAAATTTCACCCTCTACCAATGGCATTAGCAGCGGCAGCAGCGTAGGCGGCGTCGGTGGCATTAAGAAACCCCATTTAACAGTAAAACAACAGTCCAATACCACAACCACAGCAACAATTCTCATCAATCCCACAGCAATGGGCAATTCCTCTTCTATGATACCCTCTAATATTGTGGCCACCATAACTTTACCCTCCCATGCTTCCATAGCATGTCAGAATTCCTCCACATCCGCTTCCCTAAGTGTTGTTAGTCCAAATACAGCTGCAACCACAACAGCAGCAACTACTAATGGCACCACCAACAATCATAATTCTTTTTTCCCAGATGCTCCTACTACACCCAAAGTTATACGCAAGGCACCAAATTCGGACACATCTCCCACCTCGGTTAAGGCTTTAGTGAAGAAATTCCAATTGGAGGGTGGCGAACAGCCCATGAACCCACCAGAATTTGCCACGAACGGTAGCAGCGGCGGCCTTAAGCCAACGGCCATTGCTACGACGAACCACACCACAACGATGAAAACAAACGAAACGAAAACGAAATTCATCAATGGCAGACCATCGTTGCAGAATCCTCCGACACAGCATTCAACGGCCATTACCATCAACAATGCTTTGAGACGAGCCTCCGAGCCCATAACGGCCATACACAGCGTTAAGAAGTTGGGCAGTACAACAACAACAACATCGGCTGGCCCTGTTTCTATACCGCCACCGCTATTGGCCAGCAGTAATAATTTAAAAACACAGTGTGTTTATTGTAATTCCTGTAATGCAATAACAAATGCGGCTGGCATTACAACAATAACGGCAAACAATGGATGCAGGCATCCCTCGTCCAATGCAGGAGTAGGAGCAGCAGTAGCTGCAACAGTGACAACAAATGCGGTACACAAGAACGGTGTTGCCTCGCCCTTTAGCCACAGTACCAAATCATTGATCAATGGAGGCGGCAGCAGCAGCAGCAATGGTAGTCTTACCAGTTCCAGTAGCAATGCCACCAACACCTCAACAACATCATCAAATGCTTTACTATTCAATGGTGGTGGTTCCAACAGCAGCAACAACAACAACACCTCGTCCTCTCACCACTCCCATCATCATCCGGGCCACCACCACCATCACTCGCATCACCATCCGCCCCATCATCATCTGCACCATCACGGTGTGGTGAAGAGTGCTGGCGCTGCCACAAATGGTTTGAGTCTAGATCAGGGTATTATCTGTTAGCTAAGGGCCTCTAGGGCGCGAAGGAATGCCAAAAGTTTCTTTCATCGTTTCTTGTGTTGCATGTAGTATAGGGAGAACAAAACGAGCATTAATAAAAACCATAAAAATAGTAATATTAGTAGTTATACGCATTACTATAGAAATTATTTAACGAAAAGAAAAAAGTATTTTAGTTACTTTTTATGTTGTACAGATGGTGGCGGTGTAGCCTATGAAGAATTTGTTTAGAGTGATTGGCCAGCAAAGAAAAATAGGGAGTTTTCTATTTAATTTAGCAGAAATAATGAGAAGAATGTGTATTTGTATTGTGGAGTAAGAAACGTAATGAAGAAAGTTTGACATTTGTCATTCACTTTGTTTGGGTTAAGCCTTTTCTTAATTTACAATTTTTGTAATCATCCCCTCTTCGTCGGCTGATACTGAAATTAAAGTGGTGATGGATGTGCAAAATTTTGGGGATTTATTAGCCAGTATTTTAAAGTAGAGGGAAATCAAATTAGTTTTTTTACCTAAAAATTGGGTAAATCAGAAACCTTGCGGTTGACAGCAAATTGGGGGGAGTTTTAAACCTGTCCAGCATATTATGTGGAAACATTTTATTGAGGGAAAATTTCATTCTTTAATATCCTTTATTAGGGAGGGAAAAGTTAAATAAAATCCAAAATAGTTACCCATGAAAAACAAAATGAAAAATATTGGAAGATTCAAATGAGCTAAAACAATACAAATGAAATGAATACACATCGAAGATATCAATATGTTATGAGCAGCATATAATTTATAAACTGAAAATATATGTACTACTAAATTCCGGCAGAGATTCAAATTCTTCCCATTCAATTAAAACAATATCATATATATTTGAAATCAGTTTTTTATATATATTCCAAGAGACCCAATCTTCATTTTATGCAAATGTAAATTGAATTCTAGACATGATACAAATTAATGAACACACATCGAACCAATATCAACATGTAATGAAGAGCACATAATTATAAATTGGAAGTAATTGGATGCCTAGTAGAAATTCAAAACCTTCCCATTTAGTTAGAAAAAATATTTTATATTTAAAATCTATGTTTTTAGCATATTTTACGAAAATGTAAATTGAGTTATTTATCTAAATTGGACCCCCAGCATAAGAATATTATTTTAAAATCAATAATGCGTTCGCCGAAGTTAGGGTATTTAATTTGATATTTTCACTTTTAAAATGTTTTGCTAAAGATGACCATTCTTTAAAGAATCCTTTTGTGACTAATTGAAAAATTGTGTAGCAATTACAACACTACATGTGAAATATATTGATCTTAGATCCACGATATCACATAAAGATCTTAGCTGAGTTAAGCTGTGTGTCCATCCGTCGGTCCATGTAAATTTGTAATCACGCTACAGGCACAATTATCGTTCTATCCTCACAACATTTTGCATATTTAGGGGATGTAACGGATGGACCAAAAACTTAAAAATTTTCAAATTTTTCAATCGCTGTACAGCTCACAATTTAAGACCAATCAAGCATTAGTTTAGAGTTTAGGACAGGGACGAAGTCTTGCATTTTGGATGGCCATCAGATACTATTTAGCGGGTAAAGTAGACCTCAACTTTTGTGTGCAAAGAATACCTATCACTACAACAGAGAACATAAATAAAGGGCAAATGTCACCGATTAGGTCTGCATGGCAACATTGAAAAAACTACAAAAATGGATTTAGGTTCAAATAGGTTTTTCAATATATTTTAAATCAATTCTAATTCTAAATCTAATGTTCTTGATTCTCATACTGCCCATTACGTAAACATTCCGAATTTCTCAAAATATGCCATATATTGTAAAACCGAATCCGAGGGCCCATTTCCTCCATAACTTTTATTTTGAATTAAAATGTTAATTTGAATCCATTTTTAAATCTGTCAAGTGTAGCGATTTTAGGCTATTTTGAAAACTTATTATTTCTTTCTAAATCAAAGTTGAATCTATTTTGAAAATATAAACTATTATTTTAAATAAAGTCTCTTAAAATTTCATATCGTACTGTTCATCACATCTGTTACCATAAGCCATTGGAGCCTCGTGCTTCAAAATGAAGTTATTCAAATTGTTTGAGACACATCCGATTTATACGTCCGTGACAGTAAAATGTTTTTTTATTTCCTCAGAATATTTATTCCAGACATAATCCAAAAATAGGTGGGAGTCCTCCGAAATGGTCAGTTTTTAGACATATATCTTAGGCATACATTCATGTAAAGAAGTTGGTTTTTTAATATTTACTCAAAATATATATTTCCAGACATTGAACTTGGGCAGGACTTCTTTTCAATTAAGCATGTGCCAAGGGATGCGATTTGATGGCAAAGTCAAATATGTTAGATATTTTTATGTTGTACAAATCTCCCTTGCTGAGTCAAATTATTTACTTTAAAAATAGAATGTGCAAGTTGTACTCCAAAAATTTTAGATTCGCATAGGGCAAATGATTCTCTTCAAAAAAAAATTCAAAAAAATACAGGGTATATCAAAAAAATGCGTAAAATGTAATTCGAAATAAAAAAGCAGATTTCCGAAAATGGTTAGTTTTTATGATAGTTGTACCCCAATGATGTTCTGTTCATGGAATTTTGAATTTATATTAAATTTGGAATTTAGCTAATTTAAAGAAAGGAAAAATTACCTTGAACTTGGCCAGGACTTCTTTTCAGGCAAACATTTTCAAAAGGATGAGATTTGAGATATAGCCAAACATGTTGTATAATTAAATTGATTGTGTGTTTAAATTTGATTTCAATTACTGCGTAAAATTATTTACTTAAACAATATTGATATACATATTGAACTCCATCGATTTGAGATGTGTATAGGGCAAAGGATAATCTTCAATAAAAATTCAAATAATATTGGGTATACCAAACATAATTTTACAAAAAGGAATTTGGAAATAAAAAAGCAGCTTTCAAAAAAATTTTAGTTGGTGTGGCATTAGTGCCCCAAGATATGTCCTGTTCATGGCATTTTAAAATTAAATTCGGAATTTAGCTGATATAAAGAAAGGGCAAAATAACTTGAGCTTGGGCAGAACCTATTTTTAGGCAAACATTTTCTAAGGATGAAATTTGATAGCATGGTCAAATATGGCGTTAAATTGGATTGAATGTGTGTACAAATTTGATTCCAATTGGTAAAATATGTACTTAAAATAAAGACAAGCATTTTGAGCTCCATCGAAAAATTCCAATGTAATTCAAAAGCAACTCTCCCAAAATATTTAGTTATTGGGACATTAGTACCCCAAGGATGTTCTGTTCAAGACATTTTGAAATCAAATTAAATTCAAAGTTTAGCTACATAACAAACTTTAGCTGGTTAACTAAAGTATATACGAAAGAAATATATAAGAAAAATCCCCACTTACTTCCAATACAAATTACACTTCTGAAATAAATAAAATAAATATCCCCAGGGCCAAATTTTAAAGGTCATTTCTAAACAAATTTCTGCTCATACATAAAACAAATGGTAATGAAAAAGAAAAACAAAAACCCCTCTAAACAAGTTTTAGTTTAAAGTGTAAAATAATTAAAATGAATTAGTTATTGAGATAATACAAGAAAGAAAAAAAAACAAAGGAATACAAGCAAAGAAGAAAGAAAACCAGTATGTACTTTAAAATACTTTCTATTTCTCTCTCCTCCCCCTGATTGCATCCCACCAACATCCTCCCACAAATTCCTTTCATATTTAGAATAACATATCAATCTAAAAAACAAAACAACAATTTTAATGTTTTATTTTCCCACTTTCCTTGTGATCACAATTTCCCCAAATTAATCCCCCATCCAAAATTTCCTAAAGGTCTCTTATTTGTGTGATTTCATCTATATATTTTTTATTATAATTATAAAATTAGTTTCATTCTCTTCTATATATTTTCAATGTTTACTGCATAATTAATTTTCGTCTTTTTTTAAGCTTATCAAACAAAAAGATTTACTATATATTTTTGTCTTTATTTTTTTTTTAAATATTAAAAATATTATTATTTGCTTTGGAGTATGATAATTCTTTATTTCATTTAAACAAAAATACCCTCCATTTTTTTAAATATTGCTATTTTTAAAAAAAAATAAGTTTATATGTTGTACTGCTTATGTTTTGTCATGCATTTGTTCAATCGACATATGTCTACAAAGTATTCCAAGTGGAGAACGACGGAAACTTTATTAACATTATTTTGGGAATTCTTAATAAAAAAATAAATATCGGAAGAAACAAAAAATGGAAACTATGCTGTTACTAAAATAAAAAAAAAAAAAAACATTAAATTAATGAAAAAAATAAATAAAAACAAAAATCCACCCTAAAAGGAACAAAATAAAAATCCAACAGTTTGAAACTGTTTCAGTGTCTCATTGCGAGACTGGGTGAAAAGTGAAAAATCTTATTAAAAAATCTACGATTTATTTAATTAATGTATTTTTTGTTTTTAATTTTTAGCTAATGTTAAAGTAATTCAAATTAAAAAAAATGAAAAGTTGTTTAAAATGTTAAAAAAAATTGTCATGAAAAAAAAACTATATTATATATGCCTACTATATATACATTAATTAATTTATAAATATTAAAATAATTAAAACCACAACAACAAAAAGAGAAATGAAAAGAAATTATAGTTTTTAGTAATCCCAATTATTTTTTTTTCATTTAAGTAATATCCCAACATACACTAATTATTAATTAATTAATATAATTATAATTATTATTATTTTGCTGAATGCTGAAGTTTTTAAAGAAAAGGTTATACAAAAATTTAAACTGAAGAGAACTTAATAAAAATTTATTAAACAAAAAAAAAACATACAAATTGATTTTTTTCATTTTTTCCAATAAAATAAAGATCTCTGTTATGTAAACTATCATGTACTCTTAACCAATGTTTTTGTAAAAATAATTGCCAGTTCGTCTAGCGAATACATACTCAATATTTGCTTCAACAAATCAACGTTTGAAACCAAAAAAAGTTTTGCAGTTCAGTTAAATCTGAATATTTTTACAAAAACCAGGTGTTATTTCTCTACAGCACTCTTATTTGAATTTTTAAAAATTAATTTTGTATGCATTTTTTTAGATAACAAAATATGTTGTGTTATTTTTGTCAATTGTAGTAAAAACAAGCTCTTTAAAATCAATATAACAACATTCGTTTTCTACAAGAAAAAAAACTCAACAAGTGTATATACATTTTTGTAAAGTTGTAACGTATTTTTTCGAAAATCACCATTTATGTTTTTCTTATTATTTAACAGATTATTGCAAAACAAATTATAAAATTGGTTCCGAGTTCCATTGACTTTGTCCTGTATAGCTATGGATGTTAAATATTTTTTAGGCAATTATTTTGTCAAGAATTTCGAATATTTCAAGATTATCAATGGACATTTAATTTGTATTCTACGATACATATATAACCATATCTATAAAAGCTAGTAAAACGTTGTTAGTATTTCTTTTAGAATTTGTACAAAAGACTCTTATGGGTAATCCTTAACCTTTCAAGCAATCCCAACGCAGCTTTGTTTAATCAATTCCACCCGAATAAAAATTCCAATTTGGAGAGAATTCAAGAAGATTTTGAAAGTAAAACAACATTCATATGTAATATTAGAAATATATTATATATAAGAATTTTAGGTCCTCCTTTTGGCATAGACAAGGTATAAATGATTAAAAACTTTGCTGTTGCAAAATGGTCAGGCTTAATCCCTTTATTGTTGTTTTTATAAAACAACGTTTGTTTATTAGTGGAGAACGATTGTAATGTTTACCATTAATTAAAAAATATTAAAATATGAAAATTCGATGTACTTTTAATTAAACTTTCGGTATTGCCTATTGCCATCACGATATCACCTAAATTCCCGTCGGCGAGGTGGGAACTATATATTCATGGTCTGTCTGACAACCTCTTCATAGATTTGATTAGAAATGGAATGGGCACAACCCATTGTAATTTAAATAATGTATTACTTAGGGTAAAAAGTCCATACTAGTTTTGATACAATCCGCCCCAGGAATGCCCACCTATTTCATAGAGGACTTATCCCTACTTGTCTTGTCTACTGTCCTCTTTTTTTGTATATTTTCAACTCTGTAAAGAATAATTTCAGATTGTTGTTTTGTAAAGTAGAATTTCCATCGTAAAAATTACCATCAAAGACCGACCCAACCCTCAAAGGGCATAGTTCGAAACTACTAAAAATAAAGATTTATGATTTATCACATCGATTCTGAAGACTAGGTTTCCCTAGTCCTAGTAGCGTTCGTTATTGACCATATAAAAATTAATATCAACTAATAACAATAAGTAAGAACTGAATTAAAATGGGTATACTTTTTTCAATAATTACAGGGAAAAAACAGTAGATTATGAAAGTAGAGCTAAAAATAGAAGTCACGTGTCCCGGCGTTTTGAAATCAACTGGGAAGACTCTCACAATTACTAAATTCAGGAGCTTCTTTTAATGAGGGACGACCTTTATTAATAATTGCTTGTATATAGCGTTTTCATATAATGAGAACTCAAATGCCAGAATTTAAATTTAAATACTTAAAATCAAAGTAATACATGGGCGGACACCAAAAAAGTGGACCGATATAACCCAATATTATATTGAACAGTGAAATTATAAGAAAATTTGCATTTTCTATTGATGTCTTCTAGGACCTATGGTAGATTTTGTGTGTTTCATCTGCAATGTAAAGATTCCTTGGAATCTTAATTCAAAAATTTCCAATGGCGTTAAAGAGGGGGTAAAATATCAAAACACCGACACAAGTTTCTCTTATTTTTGGTTCTACTTTCATAGTCTGCTGGATTCTCCTGTAATAATTTATTGTCTTATACATTACAATGTTACAATGGAAATAAAATACATCTGGCATTTTTCTGATTTTTCGTTTTTATTGGTGGGAAGCTACAAAAAGAGAAAAAAAAATATATAAATGATGTTGGGTACCATTTGAAACTCACAATATTTGTAGATGCTTAATGGTTCAGGAACAGAGCAAAAATTAATACAATTTATTTTAATTTACGTTTCTTTTTCTACACTTTCAGATCTCATTATTATTTCCATGGATGCAACACACAACCATAGCAAGACAATTTTACTCTAATTTATAATTTTTGCTAATTTACCTGTTTTCAGATCAGTCATCATTTAAATCACGATCAACACATACAACACCATTGGGACTACTGAAATATATTTTTATTTAGAAATAAGATTAAAACAGGAAAATATAGATTCTAAGTCTATACTATATCGGAATAAAGAGAATATTCGATAAATATACTCAAAAATTAAGAGCAATTACAAAACTTTAAAAATGAATCTTGTTAAAATTTTAATTCTTTGGCTTGTATTATAATTTTTTTAATACTGTATGATATTAATATATTGCAAAATGTAAAAAAATGAAAGAATGGGTAAATCTCAATCTAGAAAATTTGTAACCAATCGTAACCTCGTCTAAATTATGTTTATGCCTCATATTTTTTAAATTCCATATGATTTTGAATAATATATTAAAATGTATAAACGTTCAAATATTTGGAAGTCTATACTATATCTGAGTTAAGAGATTATTTGATAAATCTACTTAACAATTTTTAAGCAAATTCAAAACTTTTCAAAAAAATCTTGTTTAAATGTAATTCTTTCTTTTAATTCTTTATGATATAATTATAATAAAAATATAAAATATTGAGATAATTGGTAAATCTCAAAGCACAAAATTTGTAACCAATTATAACAGTATTCAAAAAACCTCGTTTAAATTATTTTTATGCCTCATATTTTTCAATTCCATTTGATTTTGAATAATATATTAATAAACAAAATGTTCAAATATTTGGAAAATAAATCTAAATTAATGCAAATACGCACAATTGGTAACAAACAATAATTAAAATAAATTTATAATTAAATATATATTGATATGTACATATATACATACGTAAATTATTGTTAATAGAGCTTAATATTCAATCATTCGGCAAATTAAAAATTTAACTCAAATTTCATATTTGATGTTTTCGAATTAAATTATTGATAATGCCGGCAAAGCCAAACGAAAACAATAATTATTGGAACCAAAATTTAATCAGAAAAAAATTAGGTAAAACAAATTTTGCTTAAACCAAATGTAACGATCATAGTAAATGAATATATATAGCAATTATAATGTTTTGAAATGATCAAGTCTTACAGTGAAAGGATTAAAACGTATTTGGGTATGTGTTGGAAATCATTGCAAATCGATTAAATTATTTATTTTTTGCAAAACATTTTTGGAAAATTGTAAATTAATTTTAAACAAATTTTAATTAAACTAGAAGATGTTGATATAATTAACAGTGAAACTTAACTATACACAATTGTGAATCTACAAATCGATTTGCATTAGTTTCCACCACATATCCTTAAAATCATCAAATTACAAACATATATCAATGCGATTATTTTTCTCTAAAATGAAAGCTAGAAAATAGTAAATATGGAAGTAGATACCATTTGAAGGTCATTCAAATCGTAACATATACCCGAGCATTTGAAACCATTAGTAAATAAATACAAATATCGCTCAAGACATATCACAAAGCAAACAAACACAAATCGAAGAATTACAAAAAAAAAAAATATATATTAAATTCATTGTTAATGTTATAAACTAAAATTAAATGCGAATTTCATAAATATATATAAAACAATCACACATACAAACAAAACGCAAAGTCATTATGCATTTACATAGATGGTAAACAACGCTATTCAATGTGTCAATTTAATTAGTCATCGGAATAGAAACAAAAACAATTCAAACATAAAATCTGCGTGTTCATTAAACAATTAGATAAATGAAATTTATGCAAAACAAAACACTTTATATAAAATCAATTAAATCGAACAAAAAAATATTCAATAACGCTATACATAAACACATACATAATTCACAATACATTTTTTGAAAAGCAAACAAATTTATGGAGGTTTCTTCCTAAACCAATTAAAATATACAATTATATATTACAAAATGAAAAAAGATACGCCGCCGTACCATATAAATGGAATGAAAAAAATAAGGAAATTTAAGAAATATTTACATATACATACATGATTTTTCGATGTGTTTTTAAAATTGTTACGACTGGTATTTTAAATGAAAAGCAAATGCAAAAATAAATTAAAAAAATACATTTCGCTAACGACAGCTCTACAATGTTCTTTTTTAAAACCATGGCTATTGCAAAATTTATATACATAACAACCTATAATGTATGAATACAATTATTATTATATATACTGAATGTTACAAAAAAAAGAAGTGTTATTGTTTGAAAAAAAAAATGGAAAATTAAAAATATATATTTCATGTGATCTATAGAAGACTAAAATGAAGAGTCAATGTATAATATTGGAAAATTTAATTAATATTTGAAAAAAAAGATATTTAATATTTGTAACTATGATTTCATGTAATATTTTAAGAATATTTGAAATTATGAATATGTTATTTTCTTCAAATTGTTTGTAAGACAATTCTGCGTGGACTGAAAAGTGAACTCTTTTTCATACCATTATCCATCGAATGAAGTGGATTTTCATTTTTATACCCTCCACCATTCTATGGAGGGAGGATCTGGCTGGATCAGTGTAAATTCTAAGACGATTTAGCGATGTCCGCAGCCATATAACGGTACCTCCCAGAATTCGGTGTTTTGATGATTTTAGCGCCAGTTGAAGATCTAAATGGGTACCTACAACCTATGAAAAATCAATTACTTATGCAGGTTCACGTCTTTGCATAGCCCCCTATAAATTTTATTACTTTAATGGTATTATTTTGATTTTTTTTTAATTTTCAAGTTTCTTCTCAATGGTGGAGTGTATTAAAAATTGACCCGCCCGAACTTAACTGTTTTTTTACTTGTTTTCTATTAACATTTAAAGTTTTTTGTATGTAGCTATAATTTCATGTAATAATTTAGGTAATTTAAAATAATAAATGAGTTACTCTTTAAATAAATAGGACAATTCTACGTGGACTGAAACCCAAACTTTTTTCCATACCCTTATCCATCGATTGAAGTGAATATTTATGTTTTCCATTTTTGTTTTTAGAAAAGTTAGCTTCGAATGCAAAATAAATCTTAAAAACTAATATTACTCCTGTATATTTTTATAACCTCAGCCATATGGCTGGAGAGGGTCTATATCATTTGATACGGACAAAACGTGCCTCATCGAAATAACGGTTTAAGACTCTAGGTCTCTTTGGACCAAATCTGTTTTAGGACATTTGGAGTCGATCTATCGATGTCCGTCCGTCTGTCTGTCTGGCTGGATGGTGTGCACGGTAACTCTTGAAGGGAGTATTTGATTTGGTCCAAATTTGGTACATAGTAATATTATTATCAAAGTCCACTCATTATGGTACCTCCCCCACAAAGGGTCAAAATTTTGAATATTCCTGATGTCCATAAAAATCGAAATAAACATCCGATGCCATTTGTCGAGGAGTTTGAAAATATCAGGATAGCTACTACTGCTGCAATGGGAAATTTTACAAAATTTAACTCTATAAATCTATAAATCGACATAAATTAGTGTAAACGAGATATTTACCAACATGCAAAAAATTAACAAAATAGGTCCTCGTTTTGTGTTGTTGGTAGTAATGAAAGGTATTAATGTTTTAATTATTTCAAGGGTCTTGTCCACATTTTTCAATCGATTTTAATTTAGCATATTGGTTTCTGAAGTGGTAAAACTCTTCTTCGCAAAAAATTTTCAGAAAAAATTGGTATATTTTCTATTGTTTTTTAATGCAAATTTCTATTTTTTGTTTATTTTTAAAACCCCAACATTTTAGGTTCGCAGCAAAAGTCCAATATTATGATCCCTTTTATATTGGACCTCAGACAAAGCCTCGACCCACGACATACTATACATTTTTAGTTAGCAAAAAATGAAGACGACTTTCATTTTTTTGTGTTTAAAAACATTGACTTAAAAATAACAAGCAAAAAACATTAAATTTGGCCTGGCCGAACTTACCCTCCACCTTAGAAAATGCCGCAAAAATAATCAAAATACCGCATATCGGGAGGTACCGCTGTATGGGACTATACAAAAACGTGGACTTATACATACTATGTTTCTAACACGGAGCTAGGACCCATTAAGACCCAATTTTTAGACAAATCCGCGAAAATCATCAAAATACCGAATATTGGGAGGTACCATTATATGGGGGCTATACCAAAACGTAGACCTATACATACAATGTTTCGCCACCGGAGCTAAAACCCATTATGACCTACAAATACCAAATTTTAGACAAATCCGTGAAAAAATGTGGCAAAAATTATAAAAATACCGAATATCGGGAAGTACCATTATTTGAAAGCTATACAAAAACGTGGACCTATACATACAATTTTTCGCCACCGGAGCTAGAACCCATAATGACCAAAAATACCAATTCCTAGACGAATTCCGTGAAGAAAATGTGTTAAAAATCATAAAAATACCGAATATCGGGAGGTACCGTTAATGGGGACTATACCAAAATGTGGACCGATGTATCTCATTTTCAATACCAACCATCCTAGACACAATATAATTTGTTCTCCTACATTCTGACGCTCTACGTCAAATAATGTGGACTGTATCGTGATTTCAACAGACAGACAGACAGACGGACATCCTTAAATCGACTTAGAACTTTATGCTGATTATGAATATATATACTTTATGGGGTCTAAAACGAATATTTAGGGATGTTACCAAGGTGGAGGGTATATAAAGTAGTTAAATAAAAAGTTTTCAGTCCACGTGTTGTCTTATTCGAGGAACTTCTTGTGCAAAATAAAAAAACATCAAAATTCTAAAAACTCTAAGGAAATGAACTAAATGGGTGTGTGGTCCAGAACCTGCGAATTGGTACTGGATAGTATATTTTTCCGATATCAAAAAAAAAAAAATGATTATCGTAGTCAATTTTTTAGATCCTTGCTGGTTCTGAAACAGAGAATAAATAAATCAGCAATGTGCAAGCTAAACATATTAAAAATTCTGCTAATTCTTCTAGAAATCTACATTTAGACAACTTATTTCGAAAATATCCCGTTTTTCTTTAAATATTACTTGTAATTTATGTAAATATTATTTATGTTATTAAAAAAATATATAATTATTTATTCTATCTGTAGTAATATTAGTTAGTTAATAATAAAAGCGAATACTGTTTTAGCAATTAAGTTATAATCAGGAAATCATTATAAAACAATAATTAATAAATAAATAAAAACTTTACAAAAGTGTTCATCAATGTTAAAAAATTAGATCTTTTTATTGCTTCAAAAAACAAAGGTAAAAATTAAAGAAAGTAAGTATTTTTGTAGTAAGTATATTTATTTATTTTCTACAATTTGTTTAAATAAAAAAGAAACTAGAAAACCTATAATAACCAAGATTTCAAATTAAAAACTAAAATTGCTTACTAGAAAAACATGGATCACGTATTTATTTAGTAGTAGGTTTTTTATTTAATGGTATAAAAATTAAATAATAAAAACAATAAAATACGTATAATTTCAAAACGTAAAGCACCTAATCGTTTTTATTAAAAAAACTGACATTTTATGTTTTTTTTTATATATAAAATCACTAAAATTATATTTAAAATACCCTATGTGTGAGCAGAGGGCCACCCAAAAATCCCCCTGGTGTTGTTGTTGTGACAACAACTTCACTGAAAAATCTCAATTTCTTAAATTTATCAAAAATACCAGGCAAACAGAATTGAGTAGCAGGGATATTTTCCTTTACTGTATGTTTGTGTGTCTTCGCCAGCCAATGAAAAAATGATGCTGGCAATGCTGCCAAGAAAAAGGCATCATTGAAGACACAAACCCACATTATAGTAGCAAAGACACACAAGTACAGCAAAGTGAAATATTTATTGACTATTATTGACAACAGATGGCGCTGCTCGGACAGTACTATTTTATGTCTGACACATAATTATGTTCCCCTGGTATTTTGATAAATTTTAAGAAATTGACAAAATTTGTATGCGAAATTTAAAAACGCACACATACATGGATATAAATTGTATTGCGTATGTAGGTTATTTTTAAAAGACATAATATGTCATTTTAAGAGGGACAAATAAATAATAAATAACGAACCCACAAACTTTTTTTAATGGTATCGGAAAAATTGTAAAAAATAGCGAATTTTTGCATTTTCTAGAACAGGGTAATATTTTTTATTAAAAAAATTGTTTGTTCGTTCTTTCTTCGTTATTAAGCTATTTATTTATGTTGCCTTAAAACGGATTTTTTTTTTTGAAAATAAGCTCATCTCTTTTGAGGTCAGAATCATATCTTTTTTAAATTTTTCTATTTGGTCAAGTTCAATAAAATAGTTTTTAATACTTACCTTCCTACTGTATATAGAATTAATTTACAAAAACAATGTTATTATGAATTTCTCAGAAATTTGTTTTATTGAATTTATTTATTGTTTTGTTTTTTCATCAGAAAAATTGTTTTGCATTTTTTTGTATGTATATGTTGTTTTAAATATTGTGTTTGTTTTTTGCTTGGTATTTATTTATTATCAATATAATTTAATTGATTTATGTTTTTCATTTGTATTTTTATTTATTTTTTATTAGGTCACAAGCTAGGATTTATTTATTAATTAGTAATATATTTATTTGTTTACTTTTTGATCGACACTGCCGCCTCTTTCACAAATTCATAAATTATCATCATGAGGTGTACAATAATTTTGTTTTTTTTTTTGGATAACAAATGGTTGAGAAATAAAAATATACTTAAAAAAGTAAACAAAGTGTAAAATTAATAAAAAAAAAATGTTTGATTTTCTTTTTGAGTTTTTTTTAGGAAAAATTTGAAATTTTATTTAAAGAATTGAAATTTTATTTATTTTTTTTTATAAAACGCAAGTTAAAAAAATATTAGACGGTTTTGCCGACAGATGTATACCCTCAGCCAATGTACGAATTTTTTAAATACTTTGACTTCTGTTATGATTATTCAAATGTTTAACCCCTTATCAAATGTGTTCCAAAGGAATGGGCCAATATTAGACATTTCGTGTCGGACCTAAATAAATATGATATAAATATTGTGAAGTACCTTTATACCAATATTGTTGACCAACGTATTCTATATTTATACATATCCTAATACAGATAGAAATATTGGTATGAGTATATTTTACAAGAAAATCGAACATTTGTATCCAATTTTATGCGAAATCTTAAATTCCAATCATTTTCATATTCATATCAGATTTCTGGTTGAGAGAAATATTTAGGTATAGCAAGCTGTAAAGAAACGCAAGTTATGACAGATAAAAGTACTGAAAATTATGACCCATTGTGGGTGAGGTACCAAAAGGGGATCACAGATATTTATTAAGGGAACTGATGAGGATTGGTGGCTCTTTCCGAAACATAGGTATTCCCTGCCTTACCCCCTGGTAAACATTACCATCGTTTTCCACTAATATAAAAACAACAATAATGGGATTAAGCCAGACCATTTTGCAACAACAAAATACTATGGTATCCCGAACAAACATGCCAACACTATTTGATATTTATTATCTTCACAACAGACCTTGAAGTGAATTGGATGTTTATTTCGCTAACTTTGAGCGTTTTGTTTTACAAAATTTGGAACCCTTTTGACGCTTTGTGGGGTGGACCAATATATCCCAATTTCACACCTACATTGGGTTAATAAAAATATTGTAATGTGTGTAATTTGAAGAGGTACCAGATGGAATGGTCCGATCTCTACCATCTTTATAACAGATCTTGTGTTGATGGAAATATTGAGATGTGCCAATATTTCCACGAAGCTTCATGGCTATTCCAAATTCTGACCCTTTGTGGGGGAGGTACCAGAAGAAGTAGGCCGATATATTCCATCTTCACACCAGACCTTTATTCAATAAAAATATTGTGATGTGTGTAATTTGAAAACAATCGGACTCTTACACCGTATTTCATAAGAAATATAATTGTTCAAAATTTTAAAGCTTTGTGGAGGAGGTACTTGATGGAGTGGACCGAAATTGTCCATTTTCTTACATGACAAAGTACTAATGCAGACATTGAGATTTGCAAAGTTGGAGCAAAATCGGATGATCCTATCTCTTTCTGTGCAGTATATTATTTTCTATGAAAATATCGATCTTTTGTGGGTGAGGTACCAGAAGGAGTGAACCGATATTGCCCATCTCCGAACTCGATCTAGGTTTGATAATAGTATTACGATGTAGTTCGTGAGTTTTCGTGCTCACCAGCCAGACAGACGGACGGACGTCACTAAATCGACTCCAAATGTCTTAAAACGGATTTGGTCCAAAGAAACCTAGGGTCTAAAATCGTTATTTCGATGAGGCACGTTTTGGCCGTATCAAATGATATATGTATACCTCTCTAGCCATATGGCTGAGGACATAATTATCCATTTTCTCGATAATCGCTGAAAATATTGACCCTTATTGGGGGAGGTACCACAAGGCGTGGCATGATGCACAGCATCTGTAGATACACGGCTGAGGATATACAATATACAGTGAGTTTTCATGTTATTGAACAGCGTTTGTTGGCCAATTTTTTACAATTTAGATTTTTTTTATAATAAAGAAAATAGTAATATTAGATTTAAAATAATAAATAAAATTAAAAAAAATAAATGTACAAAAATAAAATAAGGTAATAATAATTATCAGGTAACAAATATTAAGGTGAATAAATCAGGTTTTTAGTTTAGTATTGTTTCCATAATGATATAAAATATATTAAATGTAAATATATATAATTTTTTTGTTTCTAAGTTTAAGGTAATCATCAGATAGATAAAATAAATTATTTTGTTATTGCGCAAGCTTAAAATCACATATTAATTAATTTATTGTTTAGTTTTGTCCATAACTTTACTTTCATTTATTTTAACTTTTTTGCCAACCTGGTATTTAATTGTTGATAAAAATATTTAAAAATCATTCATTATTTTAAAAACATAAATAAATATTTCTTAAAGGGTTAAAAATTGATTTAAGATCAAAAAAAGCTTTATAGCTTCCTGGGAATGGTATTGAGTGGTATCTGAGTTGTGTTTTTTTTTTTTTTTAATATAAATATTGAGTGAATAGTTGGGTTTCTGTTAAAATAAATACATATATTTGTTTATATTTGTATACTATTTAGACTGAGTAAATAACATAAATTCTATTTTTATTTAATGTAAAATTAAACAGTTGAATTTTAAGACAGCTTCTTCTTTCGTGTTTTATAAGTATTTGATCAGACTTTAATCAAAATAAATGAATAGATGAGTTAAAATATAGAAATCTTTTTGGCAATTAAGTATCTGTTTCTGTGTGTCGATACTAAAAGTAAAGGCAAAAAAATAAAACAATACAAATAAAGATTCAGATATATAAAAGGTTTTTGTTTTAACTGGGTTTTAGGTAGACTTAGCTCAATTCCGGCCGATAATTTATATTTGTTCGCCCCTACGCCTTCCTTCTTTTACGAAGAGGCCAGCCGATGACCTAAGCCAGTAAAAAGCCTCTTGAGGTGATAAAACATGACATGGCATATTAACGTCAGATTATAAGAAACAAGTAAAAAAGCTGTAAGACCGGGCCGAACTCTTTACAAATTGGAACTAATTTGGAAATTTCCAAAAAAATAAATAAATAAAATCCGTTAAAAATTCTGTTAAAATCTTAAAAATACCGAATATAGCCCTTATACTGGGGTGTATACGAAGACATGGACCTGCATAGCAACTTTTGTCATAAGCCATTACAATATTCAAATACGAAACTTGGAAAAAAATCCGGTAAAATATATAGATAAAATCATCAAAATAACGAATATAGGAAGCTACCGTTATATCTGGGCTAAACGAAGACCTGGATCTACATAGACAATTTTCTGTCACAGAATGTAGTACGAAATTTCAAACAATTTCGGTGAATATAGTAGCTAAACTTGTCAAAATACCGAATAAAGAGAGGTACTGATATATTGGACCTATACAAAGACCTGGACCTGTATAGACAATTTTCTGTTATAGATTGTACTTCCTATTACGAACTCTAAATACGAAATTTTAAACAACTCTCAGTGGCCAAAAAATGATGGTGTGGGCCGCCATAACAGCCGATGGTCGCTCTTCGCTCGTATTAATCGACCGTGGCATAAGAATAAATGCCGAATATTATCACGAAAATATTCTGGAGGGTGTATTAAAGCCTTGGACACGCAAACATTTTGGTCGCAGACCTTGGACATTCCAACAGGACTCAGCACGCGCCACCAGCGCGCAATGGCCACCAAAATCTCCGGATACCAATCCGTTGGACTATTGTGTCTGGAGTATTTTGGAAAGCAAAAAAAATACCACAGTGTCGATCACTTCAATTTGACCAATTTGAACAAATCTAAACTTATTCTAAAATTTGATGCTATTTCCGACATTTTTTGCTTTCATTCAATAAAATTAAAAAAAAATGTAAAAATTATGGCGTTTGACTTTGTTGCACTTTTTTATCTTACCCTGTACATGCTTTGTTAGGTCTAAAATTATTAGTTCGATGAGTTACAAACGGAATGACGACTTTAATATACCCTCCTTACTATGTGTGGTGTAGGGTATAAAAATAACGACAAGATTGAAGTGTGGCACTGACATCCCATTTGATTGTTACCACTTTGATGCCAAGCTTCTTATGTATCTGCACCATAAGTTTTTCATGATTTCATTTTTTTTTTTGCGTTAAATTTAACATTTAACAACACATTTGGAAGGGTATTTTACTTTCGAATCCATTGTCGCATTTCGTCACACAGAAACAGATTCTAAAATATTTATAAAAAGTACGTAAATATTAATTAAAATAAATAAAAAAGTTGTCATGATAACAAAGCTTATTTTCAAAATAATATGACAAATTGTGTAAATCTTAATTAAAAATAAAAAAAAAATCAAATAAAATATTTAAAATAAAATTTTATAAAAAAATTTATAGACACAAATTGCCAAGATTTTATTTTTATTTTCATTTAATTTTAATTTGATTTAAAACAATATTTGTGTATTTTTATGAAAGATAGCCGATGAGTCTTCCAAAGGACAATTGCTTAGTTTGATTTTTTGGAAATCCTATTGATTTAAACTCTTCTTTTCTAAGGGTTTTTTTACATTAAAATAAATTATGTTTGAAAAAAAAAAACACAAATTCTTGGATGGATTCAAATCGAAAACCAATGTTTTTAACACACATTTGTTCTGGTAGGTATTAATTAATAATTCTAAATGCATTTTGGAAAATCATTTCGGTTTTATTGAACGTTATGCCATTGGAATGGTGTATTGCTATAAAGGATTCTTATGTTTCGGTTCACAGTTTTGTTGGAATGTATTATTGTTTTGTATTTTTTTTTCTATACTAGTTTTGATTTGGTTCAATTAGTATGTTTTTTGTGGATTTGTTATTAATAAATTCTATTAATTTATCTATTATTTAACTGTAGTCTACTTCCAAACGCTGAATTTTAACAAAATGCCAGCAATATTTCCATGATAGTTAATTTTGTGAAGTAATAATAAAAAAACAGTGAAGGAAATCTTAGAGTAGGGCGTGGCCCACCACTTTGAATATTTAGTAGAGGTTCACATAACAAAAAATTGTTTTTATGGGGAATTTGTGAGAATTAAATCATACCAACATGTGTCCCTTTTTAATTCGGGCTTGTATAACCCCTTTGGTGCACAATTAACTTGAAATCGGATAAAGATATATATGGGAAATATGTCCAAATCTGAACCGATGTCGATAAAATTTGGCAAAGGTATTTCTGAGCTGTATTTGATATATTTCCCCGAATATCGTTGTTACGGAGTGTATATTACGGCTGTGGAGAACAAATATACCAAATAGGATGAACAATATATATATATGGGACCTATAGCTATATCTGAACCGATTATCACCAAAATGTACATACTTGTTTCTAGACTCAATATGGTCGTTAGTGCCAAATTCCATCCCATTTGGGCTAATATTACACGTTTGGTACACAATAAAAGCAAATCGGATGAAGTTATATATGGGAGCTATATCCAAATCTGGACCGATCTCGACAAAAATTTAGCAAAGGTATTTCTTAGCCGTATTTGATATATTTCCCCAAATATCGTTGTTGCAGAGTGCATATTACGGCTGCGGGCGACAAAAATAACAAATCGGATGAACTATATATATGGGAGCTATAGGTATATCTGAACCGATTACGATCAAATTTTGTATATTTATTTTCAGGCCCAATTCGGTCGTATGTGCAAAATTTTATACTATTCGGTACACATTTGGTGCACAATCGGACGATAATATGTACTCTTCTATGGAGTAGGGTTTAAAAATACGATATTCCCAAAAAGGGTATTTTTGGTCTTTGAATAGATGTTTCTATCGACTGAATGAGAAGTGCAGAAACGTAGACTCACGGCACATTGTAAACTGTCGCAAGGAAGTTGATACGATCTAGTAATCATTCCTCTAATTTTCCTCTTTCGGGAAACACCTTCAAATCAGTTACCATTTCATCGTTAAATCTTTTTTCTCCAGTGTACAATGTTCAGTGTTCAATCCAAAAGATCTCAATAAAATTTCAAATATCTCAGACTTTAGGTGACCCTTTACATATAGTCAAAACTATATTAAAGCCTTAACAACATTTGACCTAAGAACCCATGACTCCTTTGGACTTTGATATACAAAGAAACATTATAAAGTCCAATTGGAATTTGAAAGTTGTAGAAAATTCCAACTGGCTACTGCACTTGGAATTTTCTACAACTCCGTCTGTAAATTTTACAAATTATAAGAAAATTTTCAACGAATTAGAAAAATTGCTAAATTTTTCAAAAAAATCAACAAGTTTTTTTTTAAATAAAAATTGATGATATATTTTTTCATGGTACACATTGAATATACGAATTTCTTTTGTTCAGAGACTCACAATGAAATTTGATCAAAAATTATTCTTCCTTTGACACTTTTGCCAAAAAATGATGCATAAAGGGAGATTTTGACTGAAATTAGGAACCTGTTAAAATAACAGTAAAAACCAAACATATACTTTTCACTTTTAATACATAAATGTTGAATGTAATTTTATTGTATTGTATTTAGGTATATGGTTTGTTCTGAGACTCATAGTGAAATTTTGTGTAGAATATTTCTTCTTTTGACACCTTACGTCTAAAACGAAATTGTATGCTTCTTTTAGGCGTCAAATCAAGGGAGTAGGGAATATTTTCGATTTTTTTTGGAACATTGATATATTTGATGTGTAGTGGAAATAGAGATTTCTTTTCTTTGGAGACTTATAGTAAAATTTGATGAAATATAATTTAGTCTTTGACGTAAGCCTTCAAAAATGATGTTTTGCAGGAGATTTTTGCATAAACTCACATAATGTACGGGTTTAACCTTAAAATGTGTTTTAATGCATATGAATTTCTGGCATTTAAATAAGATTTAGACTTCTAAGGTCCTCAAGGACCTAAATCAGAATTTTATGACAAATAGCTGTGTAGGATCTTTTGAATTGCAACTATTCCGTTAAAAGGGTGTTTTTTTACCAAATTTTCAAAGAAAGGGCAAAGAAGAACCCTTTTTCGACTCGCTTGAGGTTTAACATTCTTCATCAAAATAATACTCGTGTTTTTGTCTGTAATATTGCCGATGACACTATACATAAAAAATCAAAGGATTCCAATCTGAAAATTTCAAAAATGTGAAAGAAGACAATACAAGACATACTCGTAGCTTGTTGTAAAAAAAAACTCCTGTATCGTTATTTGTAATTGAAAACGTAGAGACCTGGGTCTTATATATAAAGCCTAATAAAAGCCTTTAGACCTCTGTACAACACGACATTGGATATATTAAGGACATAATTATAAATGATATACTAACACATGATCCCATTATACCATGGAAATATTGCAGGCATTTATGTCAAGAGTAACTATGGACCATTTTGTGATTTTTGTTTCGATAATAGGGAATGTATATGTAAATAACATTTGTTGTTGTTATAATTATTATTATATTAAATATTACTTGTTAATATCACTTACAAATCTAATGACTAAAAAGACAAGATTATGTTAAGGCAACAAATAAATATTAAAACATAAAAAAATAAAACAAATCAAAACGGCAATATAGATCATTTGAGTACATAGTAGATGGGTGGATAGATGCAATACTAGCAATGCAATATCAATTAACTGGCAAAAAATATCAATTCATTGACTTGAATCAATTAACTACATACTAACATTTATCTAATGCTACATAGACAGGGGACAAGGGAGGTCGGTTGTCCGTCATACGGCGTCATAATTATTAACATTCTATTTTTTTTAAATAAATAATGGCCAACTATAATTCGAATATGAAAATAAATTAAATATCTTATAAAAAATATCGTTACAAAATAAATAACTAAACTAAAGAAATTGCTTAACTACATGACGCACACATACACGCACACAGACAAAAAAACCGGCACACTTAAAACATTTGTAATAATTATTATAACAGATATTTGAAAAATATCACGATTTTCTTTTGCTACTGACATCCGTTTTTCCTTTCGTTCCTTTCCATCATCACATTGCTCTCTACTCAATACCAAAGGTATTTGTCTCCTCAACAGCCAATAACAGTTTTTCATACAGTAATTCTGGTGTTGGATATGGTGGTAAGTCTAGACGATTGAAACATGTGTGAGCTCGTGGCAAGGCATTTGGTTTACCCCATTTCTCGATACAAAAACGTCGGGGACCCGTTGAACCGCGCAGGGCCGAAAAACCTTCATACGGTATGCTAGAGGTACCAGTGACAAATTGTAATAAACGCAAACGTTGCTCGTTTGTAAACTTCTCAATGACCTGCCAGAACCATATGATAACCTGATGATTATCATGATAACCGGAACGATATTCGGTATTAAGGCGCCAATCATTGATGTCAATTTCTGCCGTACCGGCTATTACCAATTCCAATTCACGCGCATCGAATACCGACACCAGACGAGAATCAACGACTTCATAGAAGCCACGTACCAGCGACTCTGTCTGCTCCTGGACACCACGTTCCAAACGCCATTTGATCATACGCTCCAAGTACTCCTTTTTGTTTTTCTCATTCACGATAATATTCTTGCCGCCCGGTTTCAATTCCCGTTCCACAACTCGTCCCAACAACTCTTCGGTCACACAGAATGTTAGACCCAAATCAATACCCGTACCAATGTCATTATCACGTATCCATTGCAGGGATTGATGGAACTCATTATCCAATGATTCTAAATCACTTAAAGCTACCGGAAGTCTTAGTAAAGCCTTGTAAAATGGCCTCGTAAAGAAGGCATCCAATAAATATTGATGAACTAAAGCTAAGCCCAGGACACGACCGCTAAAACGGAACCAATCGTGACAATTATCGACAAAGGCTGAAAGTGGTGACACTTGTACCGTATAGGTGTCATTGGCTGAATATTCAAAGAGGCCGTAGTAGGGATTGAACAGTTCACGGGATAGCAGAAAGAAGAATTCTCTGTAAGTAAACCAAGAGAGAGAGGTGATTAATAAGATGCACACAAAATGGTTTTGAAATAAAAAGTTACCTTGAGGGACCACCATAGTCCAGACCCTCTTCCGTATCCCAGAGCACAGCTAAACGTCCTCTTTGTAAGTCTTTTTTGTTGGCAGACATAATACGACGGAAGGCATCTTCTAATAAGTGGGTACGTCGTATTTGTAATCTGAAAACAAAATAATATTAAAAAAATGTAAATAATAAAAATTAAAATTGTTTATTTTGAAAATAATTGTTAAGGAAGAAAAAGGATTTTTAAAAGAATATTTGAAAGACGGTCAGAACTTGCGACCTTGGTAATTTCAAAAGAGCGGTTAGGAAATTCTGTATGTATAGGATTATTGGTTGGTGGATTTTTATTAGGGAAAAGCTGGAATAATTCAAAAATAATTCTGAAAGGACCATCAAAAGCTTTCCTGTCAAAATATTCAAGAAATTTGTTAATGGCAATCACGGGCAGTAATCCAGGAATTTTTATAAGGGACCATTAGAAACGAATTTTTGATGGGACCTGACTAAAAAGCAGAACTTGAGAATTTATATATCGAAATTTTAAAGAAGACTGACGACCAAGAAATGCACTGGTGAATTTTTAAGGAGTTTGTAATAGAGCTATACCCTTGTATTTGGAAAGCTATTTTAAAAATTTTTTGGAGGACCATCAGGTGATATACTCGTTAATTTTTATAATGAATATTTAAAGTCCTCGTGAGATAAATTATCGTAAATTATTTTGAGTAATTTGTGAAGGAGGACATTTTCAATAATCGTGGATTTTTAGGGAATTTTTGGACCAGTGGGACTTATGGAAGCGATTTTTTAAATTTTTTAAGGACATTCGGGCGCTGTCCCTTGGATATTTATAAAGGATTTTTGAAGAAGCATAATCTAAGCTTTTTGTAAGGATTTTTTGAAGCATCAATGATACTATTTTCGTAAATTTTTATGAACAATTTCAGAAGGACCCATGAAAGAATAGTGGGACAAACAACGGTGGACCTTTTAAGGAATTTATGAAGCACCATCAGGGGTTGAACTTGTGGATTTTTATAAGGGATTCTGAAGGACAATAAGAAGCCTTATTCCTGAAATTTTATTAAACAATTTGAATTCGTGGATTTTTATAAAGGATTCTGAAGGACAATAAGAAACCTTATTCCTGAAATTTTATAAAACAATTTTACAAGAATTTGAATAAGGATTGTTTTATTAGAATTTTTAAGGATCATCGGGACATTACTCGTGGATTTTATAAAGGACCTGTGTAATAGCCCGGTAACGATTTTTAAAAGGAGAAATGTTCCGGGGACCAAAAGGATCTACATTTGTAGTTTTTTATTTGGAATTTTTAAAAGAGCAATAGGAGCAATTTACGCGGATTTTTATAAGAAATTTCGGAATAAACATCAAAAGCAATTCTTCTAGATTTTTATAAGAAATTTTGGAAATCAATAAGAAAATTTTGTCACGGATATGCTGTCCCGAGTGTATATAAGGGATCTATCAGGAGCTGTACTCGAACTGAAGGAAGGGAAGGAGGGAAACAATTTGAATAATCATAACAGAAGTCGACTGATCATTATGCAAAGAAGGGTTAAGGGTTTAATGAGCCATTATCAGCTATAGTCGCAGGTTCATCAAAGGATTTTTGAAAGTCCTAGCTGCTTGAGACTCAGAAGTTATAATTATAAAGATTATTTTTGAAAAATCCAGATCTACATAAGGGCACAGTAGATATTTTAAAAGTTCTTTTGAGGGTTCTTAATTTATTTCCGATCGTGGCCCAGTTTTGAGGAACTATTGAAAGGTATAATTATGAGCTATAATCAATAATTTAAAAATTTTTTTTGAGAGAATAACAGAAACCATAATCATAGATTTTTAAGAAGATGCGATAATAATAAAAATTTGAAAAGTTTAAGAGAACCAAAGTTATAGAAATGGATTCTTATATGTTCTTAAAATCTTAATTTTTTAGAATAATTATTTTTAGGACTAATTAGAAGCTAATAGGCTGAAATTCTGAAAATACTCTTAAAATTTTAAATCGTGAAATATTTGCCCAAGCTATAATCATATACTCACTTTAATTTATGTGGTCCTTGACCATATCCTTTCGATTCTAATTTCCTATAGAAACTTCTCAGTTTGGCCTCGAAGTCACGCCGGAATGGTGGCGGAGCTCGTTGCAGCATGCGAGAATTGAGCACTGGTGAGCCTTGGGGACTGCGTTCTTCGATGGGCACATAGCTCATAATCTCCTGTTCGAAAAGGCTGAAAAGATAAAAAACGAGAAATATATTATTAATATTAAGAAGTATTTTTATGACCTTTAATATTCTCTAAATTAACCAAGCCCCATTTGTTAGCATCCCAAAATTGAAGTCATAGCACATTTTTCCTCTACATCATTTGCCCAATAATAAAAATAAAACAACAGCAAAAAAACGTGCGAGCGGCAATTATCCAAGTTGTTTATTTATAAAAGCCACCACAACGATGATGCTATCGAAATGATTCAGATTTACAATCCTATCATTTTGTGGCAAAATATTAATAACTTTTATGATATCACATACATTTCGAGAGATTACCACGTTGGCATGGCCGGCATGTAAATTACTTTTATATTGTCATGATAAGTGTTCTAATTAATTATAGTTTTATAAATAAAAGTGGATTTTTTTAACCACACAGCATTTTAAATCTGATTGATAGAGCAATCTACATCTATACTCAATAAATGTGAGATATTTCTATGTATTGAAAATGGTCTATAGATATTCTGTTTTGATGAGATCTTCTTCGTGTATTTTATGTTGGAGACAATTTATTTTGTAAGTGTAAAGAATCTCAGAATCATAAAGAAAATATTTTTGAAGAGTGCCAGCCAAAACCTATTGGCGTAGAATTTTATATTTCAAATATTAAAAAATCCACGGTTTAGGGACCCTAACATCAGTTAATGCATCAGTCAAAAATAATGTAAATTTTTTCAATTAAATCCTTGAAGAAAAATGAATAAAAAATCCACGATTGTAGTCCCTGAGTTCAATTTGAAAACACGATTTCGGTTCTTGGATATTTTTAATCCACGATTTTTGGCTTTGAAAATTATTTGCTATTTTTATTAAAATTATTGTTAAAAAATCCATGAGTTTGGAACTTGAAATTATTATAAAAATCCATGTGGAACTTGAAAATTTTTAAATTCTCGATTTTGGTCCTTGATTTATTTAAAAAAATCAAATTCCACCAAAAGGACCTGCACTCATGAATTTTATACAGCCTTTTCGAAAGGCCATCAGAAGCTATCCTCCTGTAATTCTATAAGGTCTTTTTGAATTACTCTTGATATTAATAATCATGAAGTAATTTTTGAATTTAATGACAAGTGGGACCGACAGTTTTGGATCTTTAAGAGTATTTTTGACAGACTATCAGCAGCTACAAACATTATATGGTATTAGAATATTGGAGGGACGTTCAGAAACTGGATTTCAAAAGACCATCAGATGCTGTCTCCATCGGGTTTTTACAGAATTGTTGAAGGACCATAAGGAACTGAACTCTTGGTTTTTATTGTCAATTTTTGCAGGAACAATGGAAGCTGTATTCATGGATTTTTTCAAGCTATTTGTAAAGTACCGTTGGAAGCTACATTCATCGGGTTTTACTATTCTCATCGGGTTTTTACGGAATTGTTTAAGGACCATCAGAAGCTGTACTCTTTGTTTTGATTGTCAATTTTTGACGGACCAATAGAGGCTGTATTCATTGGGTTTTTAAGCTATTTGTAAAGGACCGTTGGAGGCTATATTCATCGGTTTTCATTAGGAACCTTCATAAGTGGAACTCGTAACTTTTCACAAGAAATGTTTTAAGAACTATCAGGAGCTGTTCTTATGGATTTTCTTGAGGAATGTTTGAAGGATTATCAGGGAGATTTTTCTAAAGAGTATCAAGAGATATAGTCATGTTTTTTTATGAAACTTTGGGAAGGAATATAAAAAAATGTACTCGTGGATTTTGATGTGGAATTTTTAAAGATCAAAAGGAACTGCTCTGAGAGATTTTTAAAGGAATTTTTAACAAAAAAAATGAAAATTGTTTAAAAATCCGCATTTTTTGATGCTGGTTACTAAAAATAATTTCTAACCATAATTTCTTAAAAAAAATCACGGATCGTAAAAAGGAAATTCTTTTCTCCTTGGAAATTAATTGTAAAAAGCGACGTTTCTTGGCCAGTAAGTCCTTTTAAAAAACCTCCGCATTCTTGAACAGGAGGAAATCGCTTAAAAAGTCTGCGATTCGTAACAGCAAGTCCTTTAAAAACCTAAATTTTTGGTCCTAAGACATTTATATTGAAAAATCCACGATTCCATAAAAATCCTTGGCAAAAAAGTCCCTTATAAATTCACTATTTGAAAATCAAGATTTTTGGTCTTTAAAAATTATTTAAAAAATCTACGATTCTTGGTCAGGAAGTCATTTAAATACACCTAGGAATTTAAGAAAGACAATTTTGCCCTTGAAAATTATTTAAAAATCCATAACTTTTTGATTTTGGTCATTCAAAATAATTTTTAAAAAACCAAAGTTCTTGGCCAGAAGTCCTCAAAAAATGTACGTATCGTAGAAAGGAAATTATTTTCTTCTGGAAATTAATTTAAAAAATCATCGATTCTTGTCTAAGAAATTCCTTTAAAAAACCCCAGCCCAGGAGGAAGTTTCTTAAAAAAGTCCACGATTCGTAGCTGGAAAAGCTTATAAAAAATTCACATTTTAATTCAAAATTTCTTAAAAATTCACGGTTTTTCTTTTTTTGAAAATTAATTTAAAAAAATAAATTCCTTTAAAAAATTAGGATTTTTGGTCTTTGAAATTTATTTTTAAAAATACACGATTTTTGGTCAAGAATTCATTTGAAAAATCCTCTGATCCTGGGCCAGGTCAGGAAGTCCTTTGGGCACTGGCCAGGAGAAAGCCCCTAAAAATAAAAAATCCTCGATTCTCGGCCAAGAAGTACTTTAAACCGTTTTGGGCTTTGCACGAACGAAAATTGCTTCTACAAAATCAAGAGTCCTTTTTGAAATAAATTTCCGATCCTTGGCCCGAGAGGCCTTGATTTGACAGCCATATTAGTATGTTAAAAAATTGGACCAAATAGGAAATCTCGTTCGGAAATCATGAATCTCACATAATATTCGTGAGTTTTCAAAAAGTTTACATATTTTACAAAATTCTGATCCTCCCATTATTGGTATCGTCAAGCATTGTTGTGCACACAAGCCAGTCAGAAACATGGAATCTTAAAACTGTTTCTAAGAGGAATATTATATATACCCTCTGTAGCTATATGACACTTATATTTTCATAGATATGCTATTTTGTAAGAACACTTCACATCAATTATAAAAAGTAATATGGAAATTTTAGGTCTCCAATATAAAACAGATCTCTTGAAGTCTATATAGAATATCTTTACATATTGGAAAATACCTCTTAAAGAAGTTTATATGTAAAGAAGACCTATGGAGGAGTGTATATTCATAGTATGGCAACATGTCGACCGGTCTAGCCAAATTTTTCACTTTTTTACCATGGCCAGCTAATTGCAGTTTGTATAAAATTTCAAATATTCTTTTTTGTTTTCAAAGAACAGCAACTTCAAAAATTATATTACGTTTGGTTAATTGGTTGTGTTTTTTGTTGTTGCTATGGTTGTTGTTGGTTGATTTTTCAATGTTAACTGTTCTAAAATGGAACGTATTAGTTCACGTGCAGTATGGTTTGTTCTGACTCATAAAAATCATTAAATACATTTAAATGGTACAAATAATCCAAAATGTATTAACATGTGTGTTTTTGTATGTATAACAACTAAATAATATATTTAATTTTTTTGGTAATTAATATTTATTACTGTGAAAAAGTAAATAGGGAATTTAGGTGTTTGCCAAATTGTTGCCATAAAACTATCAATTGCAATTGTATTGACATTGACTGCTATTGCTAAAAACAAATACGATATACATTTAATTGATTTTTAACGGCTCTTTATTAAAATAATTATAGATTTGCACCCAGTATGTTCTGCGGTTTTTGTTTCCCTTATTTCAAAAACTGATAGATTGATTGATTATATTTTAAATGTTCTAAATGTATTTAAAACAATTTAGAAGTCAAACTTTCTATAACAACTAAACGTAATATTTGAGTTTATAAATATTTGATAATAGAAAACAGATATGTGACGAGGAAATCAGTAAACCTTTTTATTGGTAGATTTAGCGGTTTGCAGATTTCCTATGGGACGATTAACAGATTTTTTTTCATAAAGCTGGCAGATTCTTGAATGTTCGTTTGGTGTCACAGCCACTTACTTGCAACTATTCCTTGGAAATTCATAAAATTCTACTATAGAGCCCACATTTTACCTTTTGTGGGTGAGGTACCAGAAGGCGTTCACAGTTTTATATCATCTTCACAACAGAACTTGTGTTAGCAAAAATGTTTGTATGTGTGAAATTTGAAGAGAGTTGGATGTTTATTTCGCTTTCTATGAGCTTTTGTTTTTCAAAATCTTGAACCCTACGTGGGAAAGGTACCAGAAGGAATAGTCCGATCGTTGATGGAAATATTGAGATGTACCAAGTCCGAATGGAATCGGACGTTAATTTCGCGTTTTATTAGCTTCATGGATGTTCAAAATTTTGACCCTAATGTGGGGAAGGTACCACAAGGAGTGGTCCGGACCTTGGGTTAATAAACATATCATGATGTGCGTTTTATATGAGTTATAATAATTCAAAATTTTGACCCTTTGTGGGGGAGATACTTGATGGAAGTGACCGATATTGTGCATTTTTGAACCTGGCCTAGAACTTATGCAAATATTAGGATTTGCAGTAAATAATTTTCTTTGAAAATTTCGACCTTTTGTGGGCTAGTTAGCAGAAGGGGTGGACCGATATTAATTATCTCCGAACTCAATCTAAGTAATATTAATATTACGATATACCAAGTTTGGACCAAATCGTATACTTCCTTCGAAAGTTATCTTGCGGACCAGCCAGACAGACATACGGACGGACTGAGATAGCTAGATCGACTCCAAGTGTCCTGAAAGGGATTTTTTCCAAAGAAACTTAGGGTCTAAACCGTTACTTCAATGAGGCAAGTTTTGATCGTATCAAATGATTATTATCCTCTGTAGCCATATGGCGGAGGGTATAAAATTGTTGCTTGAAGTCTAAAAATTGGTATTAGGG